GGAGCGCCTACGGGGCAGCCTCACTTTAAGGGTAGCTCTTTGGGAGATGTTACAGTATCGGGAGCATAGCTCGCGCGCCGCTGCCTTGGGCTCAAGGCACGCGCGCCCTATTTGCCCGGACACCGCGAGTGTTCGCTATGTGCTGGAAAGATCATTACATCGATCTTGTCCTATCTTATCCGCCCACCCCTCATACTGTACCTTCACAGCTACAGCAGAGCGATGGACGCTATTTGCCATCCGATGTCCACGGTCAGCGCCTTGGAATCGGATGCTATATGACAGGCTATATGCCCTATTTGAGTTACCAAGCTCACTTTCGACTTGGTAGCGGAGCTGGCCGCACTCTCGTGTGGTCAGCTCTTGCTCTTCTCAGCCTCACATTCTTCGGCGCGATCTTCGTGACCACCTACTACCCTGCGCCATCACTCCCAGTACATGTACGAGGATCTATTCAAGAGCAAGAAGCTACACGAGAGGTACGACGTCTAGACGACCAGATTGGTACCATATACGCTTCATCATTGCGTTACTATCAACCGCTCGGCAACGAGCCAATAACGCAATACCTGAAGCAAGGGCGGGGAAACCCGCCAGACAGAGCGCCTCGAAGACTCGACAAGGCGCTACCCCAGCGTGACACCGCTCATCATAACCATTCTTCGTTACACATTCTTGGGCTAATCGTTTTCGCTATCATATGGTTCGCGCTGGGGGCAGCAATCGCACACATGCGTCGGGGAGATAACAGCACCGATGGGCAAACACATGGCCCATACTGGGACCCTCAGGGTAATGTACCTTTTCGTGAGTACATTTACGAGGTCAACGCGTGGCTCAACGTTACAAGCGGACGTATGACGCCACAGGCCCAAGCGGCCGCAATACAACGCGGCCTGGGAGGCCTAGCGAGGACACTCGCCATGAGGGTACCGCCTGACATTATAAACTATGGCGCTGACATTGATGGGGTCCACACGGACCCAGTAACTTACATCATGTTCCTCCTCAGCATGAAGTTCGAACGCCTGGAAGATGAGCGACAGCTCACTTCCGGCACACAACTCATCGACTTCCATGTGCCTCACGGGGAACGAATCGATGTCACTCTTACCCGATTCGAAATGGCCCGACTTGAGGCACAGTCGGTGGGATTCGACCTTCCTAACTTCCAACTGCTAACTACTATCCTATTCCGCGCCTTAGGCGTCGGCAACCAGAAAGCCATGCAACTCTTGCAGCCACTCAACCACCAAATGCCTCGAACACAACAACAATATGATGAGTTGCTGGAAAGGATGCGTTCGGTAGGTCACCTATCCGAACGATCCCCTGGCAACATAGGATCCGTGTTTGGAAGAGGAAGGGGATCTGGTAGTGGAAATTTCTACACTACCTTGACTACTGAAGTCCAGCCTGGAAACGGGCCCTCAAACATATGGGCCGATGACCCAGGAGAATCCACTGCTTTATTAGCAGGGGATCGATCACAACCAAGCTGGGCAACCAGCCCTCCTTCTAGAGAACCACAACCACACCGCTCGTTATGGGGGGAATCAAATCCCCTAACCGACGGTGTATCCACCTATTTAGGAGACGAAGATTTCGACTCCGGCACCGACACAGACACTATATCATCAGATGGTGTTGAAGCTCTAGATTGGTCAGATATCATGAATATGGATAACGACAATCAGCGTGCTGAGCATTTATTCTGGCTGTTACAACAGGCTAAGCGAAGGTGGTTGAGGTTCACACGAAAACCAGTGCGTCGTGTTAGAAGGAGGATACGCAGAAGTTTTAAAGGAAAGGGTAAAGGCAAGCGTGGTCGTCGGAGGTTGAACGGGCGAGGTATCGCGGCATTTCTCCAGAGGCTCTCAGATGAACAACATGATGAGATATTCTTTGGGGGAAAAGGCCGCGGTAAAGGCCGTAGAGAGACCTCAGGAAAAGGCAAAGGTAGGCGGGGAAACCCGCGAGGTAGAGACGGCCAGGTTCTCAAATGTCATGAGTGTGGTAGTACCGATCATCTTGTGCGAGATTGTCCAGCGAAGGGAAATGGAAAGGGCATGTCGTCCGAAGTCCATTTCGGCTCAAGCACACCATCCATTGAGTATCTGAGCCTCCAGGACTTTGAGGCTATGGAACAGATATTTTTCACATGGGTCGTTGGCATGGACAACATTGACGAGCTCGAGGGGTATGGTCATGGATTATACGCGTATTACCTCGAGTACGTCCGCCGGTTCGTCACGGGCAGTAATGAACTCACTCCCGTGGAACACGGTACGCTCGGAAACGAGCCTCTTTCCTTCCTCGACTGGATGTTCGGCAACCCAGGCAACATCATGGCCTACGAGAGCGACGGCGAGGACACCACTATAGAGGCTTCGCCTTCCGAGGTTCAACAGAACCTCGAACCTCCGCCCGAAATCCCGCCTGGACACAGGCCTTTTCTGCTGGGAGAATATCCCCATACTATTGAAGACTTAATTGAAATGGAGTCTCAAGCATTTGTTCAGGCCTTCATTGCAGGTGAACCAGGTTCTCCGTTCATACCTCCTGGTTCGCTTGCTCCAGGCGAATATGGACCGCGTACACTTTTGCAGACCCTCATGTGGATGCATGAGATACTTGCAGTTGCATATCCTGAGAGTCAAGAACAAATTGAAGCTGGTACTATGACAGATAATGATAATGATGCTTGCGGTAGCTCAGAGCTACTCTTGGCAGCTTTGTCTCTCATTGACAGTATAAATCCTCAGGAAGTGCAACGACACTTAGTATACTCCCATGGTAGATGGCGTCGTGCCCTGGAAATGGCAATGGCTATGCGTGGTCATGATCTTCCCCCGCCAGGATGGAATCTCCAGGAGCTGGGGATGAGGCCAAACCATACGGCCATGCGTAACATTGCTAGGCAGCCTATGCTCGTCGATGACCCTGAGCCGACGACTGTGCCTCCTACTCCAGGACAGCCGAGTGACGGCCAGACGCCGGCCATGCAGGGAAACCTGCCTTTACCAGATGCGCCAATGGCCATCATAATTGGTAGTTCGACATCAGAAGAAGTAGAAGGCGATGGTTGTGGGTTAGATGAGGATGACGTCACCATCCTCATGATGGACGTGACTGGTGAGGAAGAGGTCGATTTCGACCCTGATGAGTCTGAACCATCATCACCATCGGCACAAGAGCCACTTGCGCCGAGCTCCACCCAGCAGGGAGACCTGCCTCCATCGAGCGATCCACCCGGGATCGCAGAGGAGCCTCCTCAAGCACCTCCAACGGGTGCCGCTCCTGCTGCATCAGCAGCCTCTTCTGATGAGAACACCAGAAGATCTCGTTCCCATACGCGCGTCAGAGGAGAGCCACATCCTCAGGCTCGACTCCCTCGTGATTGGAGACAGGCTGGCCCAAAGGAACACGCTGCCAGAAGAGGTGGCCAGCTACTTCCATACAACGACCCACGACGCCGAAAAGGGGAACACTCGGCCTTCGGCCAGGGCAATCCTGCCTATAGGGACGGCGATGGCAGACCCATCCGTGGAGGCTATCAGCTTGCAACAAACATCCGCCGCCCTGAAATTCAAGAAGCGCGGACCCAGTTGCGAGATATTATCGCGGCTCGCAAGCAGTATAGGCCTCACGCTGCATGTGGTCCTTGTTCCCAGCCGTTCCAGAATCACAGGCCAGGATGCCCCGTTGGAAACAACGAAGGCCTGAGCCCCAACAGGGGCAAAACCCCTCCTAAGGAGGGCCATCCGCCACTTGACCCGATGACACCGGAAGAGATCGCAGCAGTGAATAGTCGTCTCGGGATTTTGGGCCACTTGGATCCGAAAGAAGAAGAGAAACCTACTCCGGCTCCAAGGGGAATGGTAGCCATGACCCAGGAAGAGAAAGACGCGCTCTTTAGTCTTCCTGGTATGCGAGGAAACTCGCCTGGCGTATCTAGCCAGTCCCAACAACCAGAGCCGATCATCAAGGACGAGACAAAGGCTCAACGTGTGGCGGAAGATGAGGAGCGTATTCAGACAGTAGATGAACGCACACGCGAGGCAACTCGCAAGATGCTGGAGGATTCCAGCAAGCTCTACATGAAGGGGGCTAGAAAGCCCCCACTCCCACTAACTTCGAAGGCCAAGAGTGAACCCCCGACACCTAAGCCGCCTCCGGCGCCGAAACGCACAGCTCCTATACCAGCATCTGTGCCCAAGCAGCAACCCCAGGACCCCACTGAGGAACGAAGACGTTCGCTTAGCCGCAGCAAGTCCATTGCGGAACGGGCGGCAGCTTTCGAGCGCAGTGAGTATGCACCTGCGCCAGCTTCGCCTGTGGCGGCTCGTTCCAGGAGGTCCGATGAAGGTGCTATGTCGAGGGGTAACTGGGTGCCGAAGATCAGGGGCAGCGCCAGTCGCGCATCTCCGCGGGGAAACCCGCCAGGCGCTGCTGCCGCAGCTTCCTCCTCTTCAGGAGCCGCAGCCTCTTCAGCAACAGAGGCTCCGATGCGGGGAAACCCGTCAGCAGTTCAGCTGCACCACCCAGGAGACACATCCTTCACTAGTGGGACTCCAGATCTGATCAGGGATAGACTGGCACTTCGGAAGCTCCCACCGATACGTTCGGTGGATGAGCCATTCATGAAGGAATGCAGGAAGGCCGGAATTCTTCCCAGATCCAATGATACTCTTAAAAGGTTAAGCAAAGCTATCAGCAGGATATGCGTTGACTTTAGGCTCGGGGAGGCTCGGGTCAGGGAACCATAATCATGACAGAAGGGGACGCCCGCGCGCGCTCGCAGGGACTGCGCGCATCAGAGCGCGCAATTGGATCGTGCGAGCAAAGCGCGTTGGCGACAGCGGTTGCTGTTGGTTTGTTTCTTGCTTGTGTGCTGCTTGATGGCCGGGCAGCGCGGAGAGCTCTTCATCGAAGAGCTCTTAGATTGGAGGGTCGATTCCTCCGAGCGCGAGTCCCTTTCTGCGCTCGTGCAGAGAGAGGGACTGGAGTCGGCTGGCGATTTAGCGCATTTGTTTTACTCGACGGACGAGGCGGAGCAGTGTGGAGTGCCCACGGCCTGGGCCGTGGCTCGGGACGTGGCGCGGGTGACGCCGTGGCTGGTGCCCGCGCATGGCATTTGCGCGGAGGGGCGATTTGGCGGCGCGGCGGCGGCCGCCGCGCCCGCCGTGAGCGCGGGGGCCGCGGCGGGGAAAGGGCGTGGGCCTACCGCCGCGCGCCGCGGTCGGCCGAGACGCTGTGCCGCAGTGGCGACGGAGGCGGCAGAGCGTGAGGGGCGCGTTCAGCTGGCGGTCAGCGCAGTTCGAGTGTCGCTTGAATGGCGCCCGGAAAGCGGCCTCGGGCAGGGGTTGCAGGAGGCGCAGGCCGAGATGCTCGCCGACGTCTCGTCCGCGGCGGTGTTTAGGCTGAGTAATTTCGAATCCGGGACGCTGCGCACGGCCTTGCGCGTGTGGGGGCAGTGGGCCGAGTGGGCGGGCCGGCAAGGGCAGCCGGCGACGAGTCTGGCGCGGCAACCCATGGCAGTCGCCGAGTTCGTGCATAAGCTCTCGATCGCACGGGCGTCCGGCGTCAGGATCTGGAACGCCTTGAAGTGGATGTGCGTACATTTGAAAGCGCCTTTCTGCCTGGACGATGCGTTTCGCCTTGTGCCACGTAGCACCGCCGGCTCAGGCCAGGCACCGTAGCACCGCCGGCCCAGGCCACTGTCGTCGACCCCGAGATGATTTACCATGTGATCGATTTCCTGGATGGCGCGAGAACGCCTGGGCAAGTCATGCTCGCGGCTGGGATGCTGGCGGTGGTATTCGCGTGGGTGAGGTACACGCACCTGCTGCGCTCTAGGCCTTTAGAGAAGTCTGTTTATTTTTGCTGGTTCCGCGCATCGAGGGGGAAGCAGGGAAAGCGACAGGGGCGACCTTCGTTCGATTGGTGCTTGCCGAGGCGGCTAGGTGGCGCGCGGTCCGCCGCTGACGCCTTGTGGGATGGTTGGCACAAGTTGGCGGCGCGGGAAGATCGAGCAGGAAGGGCTGTGCCGACGGGGCTCGTCTTCGATCCAGTTTCCGGCGCGCCGGTGAAGTTGGGTGCCTTTAACCGATCGCTGAAGGAAGTATTCCGAGGCTCGCTAGCGGACGATTCCCAGTTGGATCTTGTGACTTCGTACAGTTTGCGCCGGGCTGGGCCTACATGGGCGAGCGCGATACAATTGGACTGGGAAGCCCGAGTCATCTCGGGCGGTTGGACGGAGGGGGGAGACAACTCCCGTCGGAACCAGATGCCGATCGGGTATAATGCGCGTCGGCGGCAAGCCGAGATGTGCACGCGCCTGCACATGGCCGGAGTGTTGTCGTGCCTGCGGACCGATCTGGAGGCCCCAGTGCAGTGGGAGCAAGTGCGATGCTGGGCGAGTTCTGCGCCAGGAAAAGTAATGTTGGCCGACCTAGAGAAAGAGGCGCAGCAGCGGGTGGCGGTGTCGACCGTTCGTGAGAAGGCCGCGTTCTTGCCCCCGTCGGTCGTCGAGGAGTTGAGGCGGCAGAAGTTTCTCCGGATAATCGTGGCCCCGCGTGGACAGCGGGTGGGGCGCGGTAAAGCGCCGGGCGCGCCTCCACCCAATTGTCGGGGTCCTGCCGACGGGGGCGCCGCGGGTAAGAGCGGTGAGGGGGGGGCGGGCGCCGAAGCGCCGGGCGCGCGTGCGCGCGCTGCGCAAACCCTCGCGTCGGGGGCACCGCGTGCAAAGCGGGGGGGGCGCGGTAAAGCGCCGGGCGGTTTGCGTGGGAACGCGTTGCCTGCGCCTGCGAGTCCACGCAGAGCGCCGAAAGTTGCCGGCAAAAACAAGCGACCAGCAGAGGCGGGAGCGCGCGCCAGTCCGGCGTCGGTTGCCATTGCGGGCCGCGCAGGGCGAACCGCGGGTCGATCGCGCGGCCCAGCGGTATTGTGCCCGGGCGTGGGCGGCATTGGAGGCTGTCTCCATCCCCAGGTCCAGGGGAGATGAAGTGTCGGTGCGGCCGGGAGACGCAACCCGTGCAGGCCCGGCCGCGTTCCAAGCGCGGGGAGTTGACTGCGCCGGTCGCGCGGTGACCGTGCTTCCAGGTGACGAGGCAGCGCAGGGCGCGGAGTTGGGTGAATGTGACGTAAAGGGCTCAGATGGCGCGCCAGCGCACTGCGCGCCGCCAGTCAGGCAGGTTGCGGAGGGATCATCCGCGCGCGCGTCGCGAGCCGTGGGCCCGTCGCCCGAGCCGCGGGGCGCGATCGGGTACGTGCAGTCTGAGCCTGGGAGGGCTACCCGGGTAAGGGAGGTTATGGGGCCTCGATATCACGTCGCGATGCCCGTAATTCGTCGCCTCAAAAAGTCCAGAGCCTGGACGGACAGTGAGTTCGGGCCAGTGACGAACCTATGTCAGAATGGATTGAGTGATCTGCAGTGGTTCCCGGCGCTCCCGGAGGGAGCCCTGGTGTGCGCGGCGTGTGAAAAGTTGCGCGGCCGGGCAGCCCCGGCGTGAGGTGGTGACGTCATCGCGGCGGAGACGCGCGGAGTTGCGCGTGGGCCTGCCAGCGAATGCCAACTTAACGGATGCGTATGCGCGCCCCGAGGTGGGCTCGAACGCGGTCCAGAGAGTAGGTTTAGCGGAGCGACACGTGTGGTTCTCGGTATGTCTTTGTCAGTTGACGGCATTGCGCTGCCGGGGCGCGTCGGCGCTCGCGACGCCGCTGCACAATTCAGAGAGCTGGCCGCGAAGTATCAGTTTGATGAGCGCATCGCCACCCACCTGGTCGAAACCGTGGGTCTAGAGACGTTGGTCGATTTCGCGCATGCCGTCACGAGCGAGAACGAGTGGGCGCCGATCCTCGAGCGCGTGCCGGATCTCGAGAGGAGGCTGGGACAGCTGTCCCGCGTGCGCCAGGCGCGGCCTTCGCCTGCGCGGGGGGGGGTCCTGCCTGGCCCGCGCCGCAGTTCGAGCGCGTAGTGCGGCAGGCGTGGAAAGCCGTGTGCGATGCCGCCCGGGAGTCCGAGACCCGGAAGAGGCGCGGTTTGGACGAGAGCGACGATGTCCCATTGCCGTCGCCGCAGCTCGCTGAATTGAGCGAGCAGTTCTTCGCTCGGTATAAGATGGCGTACCCAGCGGAGTGTGAGCCGTCCGAAGCGCTGGTCAGTAAGATCAGCAGGGAGCTGGGCAGGCGCGTCCCATTGCACGCGGAGGGGGTGACCGCGTCGCGCGCGCGGCCCCCCATGGTCGGCAGGCGCCAGGTGACGATGATGAGTGTATGGAAGGTCCGCACGTTGCTGAATGCCGCGAGGGCTGCCAGGAAGCGGCAGCGCATTGGGGATGTCGAATTCGTGTGCGATGAGAAGGAAGATCCGGATCCCGCGAAGGACTTGAAAACCTATATCGCGTTGCACCAGGTTCTCATGGTGGCATACGCGCGCGCTGGGGTGAAGCCGATTGACCCGGCGCCCGGGACGCCAGAGAAGGCGTCTTCGGATACGACGGATTTCGTGCAGATTCCGTTGGATGTCGCGATGGCCTACCATTTCCGTTTGGTCAAGTACGCCAGTGCGATGCCGTTCTCGATTGCGCTGCCTAACGTCGTGCGTCGGGACGAGGAGGAGCGCGCTTGGTGGACGGACAGGGTCCGCACCAGCGAGCTGAGCGTCGGGAAGATAATCCGCGAGGGCTTGCAGACTCGCGAGGTCATGTGGAGCCCGCCCTCACCGCCAGCTCCCGGGCCGCAGCGGCCGCCGACGAGCGTCGGGCGGAGCCAGCGGACAGGTGGCAAGGGCGCGCAGTTGGGCGATCGGTTGAAAGACGGAACCCAGGTGTGTCGCAAGTTCAACGCCGGGGAGTGCTCCGAGCCGTGCCCTCGCGGGTATAAGCACGTCTGTTCCGTCGTGATCAACAAGACGGGGCGCTTGTGTGGCATGTCGAACCACTGCGCCCTCAAGTGCACCAGGAGCCCGGGTCTCAGTTTTTGGTTTCCCTGTTAGCTTAAAGGGGGCGGCCCGGGTCCGGGGGCGCCCTGGGTCCGGGAAAGGCGACGGTTAGCGCCGAATGTTCGGAACACCCGGCGTTGTAGTTTGCGACACGAGGAACGCGAGCGGGGGCGCGGCCGACGGCGGCAAGCGCGGCCGCAAGGGCGATTGAAACGCACCCGCTGCCGCGCCGCCCGCCGCGGCAGAAGGGGCAGTCACCAGTGGGGTCGCGTGCCCCAGCGTCGTGGGCGTGCGATGGAGCCAGGCGGACATCGCTGTGAAAATTCGGAAGTCCTTTCCGGAAGAGTGGCTGGTGGGCGTTCCCATCCCGTTCTTGCAAGACTTGTTGAATACTTCGCCATTCGTTGATTTCGCCATCTGGGCGGAGCTGCAGGACGAAGGACTACCTCTGGGATGTTCTCTGGGCAGAAATTCCAAGGGGCGCGCGAGCGCCGTGTTGGGTCGCCAGGCAGGCGTGCTCGACCACAGGCTAGCGCTGGCGCCGGTTATCGAACTCGGCGTGGGGGAGCGGGCACACCTCGCTCAATGCATCGAATTCGCGAGCGCGGGGCGATTGCCATTCGACGATGAGTACATGGCACCCGTTGATTTGAAGTATGCTGCCTTTGCCACGGTTGCGTTCGCGTGGGCCGGTGGTAATCGGCTGAGGCAGTGGCGCGAGTCTTGCGCCGGGGCGTTGAAGGAGCTTAGTCAAAGGCTGGCGCCGGTGTCCCGCGCCCTTCGGCTCTGGCAAAGCCCCTCAGTACATGCCGTGGCGCAGAACACCCACATCGCGCTGATTTGTGTTCTGACTTGGGTGATGGGTTGGCCGGATTGGCAGCTGGCCCAGAGATTTGTGACCGGCTTCAATATCGTGGGGCGATTGGAGGAGACGGGTGTCTGGGAGCGGTGCGAAAGTTCGGAACCTGTTTCTGAAGACCGCTTGTTGGCGGAGTCCACCGCGCTTTTACGTTCCAGGGACAAGCGACGGGTTGATCCTGAGGCTGAGTTTCTTTGGGAATCATGCTTGAAGGAATGCGAGAAGGGCTGGGCTGCTCCTCCGGCGTCGCTGGCCGCGGCTCCTCCGGGCTCGTGCACGTGCAGCAGAACGGCAAGCGTCGGCGGATAGACGATGCTAAAGCCGGTGGGCAGAACGGCGCGACGGTGTACCCTGAGAAGTGGCACTTGCCATCAGCGTTCACGCCTGCATTGCATGGCAAAGTCTTGAGGCAGCGGTCGGGAGGTACGCCAAACACCGGAGGTGGCCTTTTCCCCCTCCCCGCCGGCCGGTGTGTCGCGGGTTTCCCGCGGGCCGTTCCCCCGGGTCCGTTCGTGTGGGCCTAGTGGGCCCCTCCGGCGTCCAAGGGGCGTGGTCCGGCCCGGTGTTTGGCGTGCGCCCTCAGGCAGGAAGCTGTGGCGGGAGGCTTTGCCGATGAGGGCTTAACCCTTGAGACTGGAGACGAGGACCTGCCGGACGCATACAGGTCCGTGCCGGTCAATCCCGCGCAGCTGCGATATAACGTCATTGCGGCGCGGGAACCGCGCAGCGGGGAGTGGCGATACTTGACTGCATTCGCCATGCTGTTCGGCTTGTCGTCGAGTGTTATGAATTTCATGCGGTGGTCTGCCTTTCTGGAAGCCGCTGCCAGGCGCGTGGCGGCATTGTTGCACACAATGTATGTCGATGATGGCAGTCTTGGGGACCTCGGATTGGCGAAAGGCTCGGGACAGGCTTTACTCAACGTCTTGTTTTCGGAGTTGGGTACCCCGAATGCCAGCGCGAAGCAGCAGCGCATGGCCGCCACTGGGGCATTCTTGGGAGTCGATCACGACGTGTCTCGGGTTTTTGAAGGCAGAGGGGTGGTCTCCTTTTGGCCGAAGGCCAGCATGATTGACAAAATCAAAGGCCTGCTCGCGGAGCACCGTGCGCGGAACAGCCTGACACCAGCGGAGGCCTCGAAGCTCCGGGGCATTCTGCAGTGGTCGTCCTCCGCGATGTTCAACGGCGTCGGCAGCGCCGCGATGGCGCCGCTGAAGCAGAGGCAGTACACTGACGCGCCTCCGTGGGCGTTATCCCACGCGATTCGGCGGTGCTTCGATTACTTCGAATTTGTGATAGACCTTGCCCCGAAGAGAAGCGTCGACGTGAGCCCGCCCTCGTGTCCGCTGATTGTGATCGCAAGCGACGCGCGGGCTGACGGGGCGACCGCGCCCACAGGCGGCTACCTCCTGGTCGATTGCTTGACAGGGGAGCGTGTGGGAGGATGGTGTGTATTCAACGATGCCGTACTCGCGGAGTGGGGTTTCTCGCCGGCGGACCGAGAGAGGGGCGCGAATCCGATCGCCCTCTGTGAGGGGGCCATGGTCCCCATTGTCCTGGCGCAAGAGGCGCGGAGGTGCCGAGGGAGGCGCATCCTGTGGGTGCTTGACAACACGAGCGCTCTCCACAGCTTCGTGAGTGGCAGGTGCGACCATGCTACCCTGGACCGGAGCGTCAAGCTTATGAATTTCTTCAAGGCGCGCGCCGCGAGGGCAAATCGCGGGGGGACGCGCCGTGCAGCGTGTCGCGCCAGTTCCACTGCGACATG